TTCTCCTTGTGTCCTGCAGTGCTTGGGAAGTGCAAGGCTGTTGCCAGGACAGAGCAGGGCTCTGTAACACTTCTGGAAAGTGAGTCCTACCTCAAGGCCAGAATGAACTTTTAGACCATCTGATTTTTTTTTTCATACCGCATTTACTTGCATGAATTTGAGAAAGAAGGTAAAACTCTCCTCCTCTTCCCCCAAATCTTTATCTTTTCTGGGGAAGCAACGAGGAGCCTGATGCAGACTCGGCAGTGCCCGTGGGGCAGCGGGGAAGCAGCGTCTCTGTCCCGGCCACCCCGGAGCTCGTCCCCATCGTGGGGCCTGGGCACACGTGGCACCTGGTGGAGCCCTCGGCCAGCTTGTTTCGGCCTGCGAGGCTCAAGGGTGACCCCAGGCTTGGTGTGGGGAGGGAAGTGTGATGTGGTGGCTTGGGGTCAGCTCCCTGGTGCTTCTGAACAAAGGTGAGGAAACCCTTAGGTTACTCTGCTACTAAATGAAACAGGCCCAGGAAGCCTGTGTGAACTCGGAACTGCCAGTCCCCTCTGCTGAGTTTTCCTGTTCCAGCTGTGTCCTGTGCTGGCCTGTGCTCTCCAAAGAGAGCGCTCGGCCGTGATCGGGAGCGCGGCGCGCGCCGGCTCCCTCCCAACAGGCGGATGGGCAACACTCACCGTGTGTGACGCTCCCTCCAAGCGCACCTGTGTACCACCTACCGTGTCCCAGGGCATTCAGTCGTACTCTTAGGCTCAGGCTGTGAGAATATCATTCTAGTGCGCTGTAGCAGAGCCTTCACGTTATTCCTGGTATTCTGAATTGGACCCCTTCTCTTTACCCCCAAATAACCAGGTGTTGGGACCACAGGCTACCGTGTGTCATGGAAGCAATTCAGGACTGCATCAGGCTGCCTGGCTTCAGGTTCAGAGAACAGTCCTTGGCCCTTTTTGTACTTAGCAGTCTAGTTTATAAAATTTTATATAAACCTTTAGTCTTTCAGAGAGACAGTTCTGGATATTTAAAACAGGGTTAGCTTCCCAGTTCACCAGGGAATTGGAGGAAAACACACTAAGAATCACTGAACGCTCAACTATTACGTGTCAGCATGGATGACCGTGATAGTATCTTTAGCATTTAAGATCCTGAAAGCCTCTTCAGCTTGTTAGCTGCAGGTGAGTGTCCTGCTGGTTGCTCAGTTTGCATTTGATCTCCCAGCACACGTCTGTGCGTGCAGATGTGGTGCAGCCTTCTAGGGAATGCTCCAGCCTCCACTGCAAAACTCAGGCATTTGCTAACTCAAGGCTGCAGCTAAACAGATTGCATCTCTAAGCCGAGTGGACGGTTTTATTTTGGAATAAAAGCGCTTTATCTTGATGTACCTTAAGTCAATAAAACACCCTTTGTACTTCCTTGAAGCCAAGGATGAGGAAAGTTTTGCATACGGTGTGATATTATCACTGCAACTGTCAGCTGTTTTCTTTAATGGAAATTTAAATCGGATTACATAAATCAGTTTGTCTCAAAAATCCTT